CCTCATGAACGTGCATAGTTCCACCTTCTGGAGGTTTCTTCACAAAAAGGAATGTTTTTTTTTGTCACAAGATAGTTTTTAATAGAAGTGTGGATGGATAAAGGGACTAGCCGGATGACATAATGCCCATCCCATTCGACCAAATTGGTCTCATTTCTCGGGAATAGTTTGGAAGTCCATTATTATTATTATTACCAGATTTACGTAGATGACGTAGAAATGTGAAGTGAGACAGATCGGTCTAATTCTTTTATGGCAGCTACCAGCTTCCTCATTTTACCTCCCTCCTAGGGATTGAAAAGATGCCAGACTCAGTGAAGACACTCGCTTGGTCACCCGACGGCTACTGCCTTGCTGTGGCGTGGAGCACTCATGGAATGGCTCTGTGGAGTGTTTTTGGCTCCTTACTCTACTCCACTCTTCTTGATCAAACTGAAGTCACTCGTTTCTTTGCACCCCTCAACTTTGTAAGTTGTTGAATGTCCCAAATATCGTCATTGTTACAACTCATGTTGAATGATATTTGATTTGGAATAAAAAATAGGAAGTAAATTGCGAAATTCCTGACTAAAGACACCAAGCAAAGCTCTCATCATTAAGCAATACTTTTTTGCCAGTGCTGGACACTGCAGGGGTTTCACTTGTGGACAGTTTCCGCATTTGTCGGCGATCAGGATCGTCGTATGAGGGAAGAGTGTTTGAACGCTTTTAAGGAGCGGATTTTGCACAGCTGTAATGCTCTGCCCCAAACACAGCGTCAAGTGGCCAAAAATGTGGCAAAAATGCGTTCCAACCTGCACCTTGATGACGGTAGTGGTGATGTCAATGGTAGCCGCAATCAGAACTTCCTCATGGTTTTTCATTTGGCCAAGTCGGCTCTTGCTTCCAATCCAACAAAGGTTAGTTTGTTCTTCCAACACCGATCCGGAATTGACTTTTCAAAAGAAATTTTTTTAGATCCACTATTTATTTAAATGAATCCATCCAATATCAACTGTTGGCATCATTTTGAGTGCTATGTCATTAGATCAGTGCCTTAAGATCGAGAGAAAATAGGCTTGCAACAATTTAGAGATGCGGCCTTACTTGTGCAAGCTGAATTGCTTACTCTCTTTAAAGTGTGCTTACATTTCTGAAACTATATTGGCTTTAGGACAACCACCTCCACCTACTGCTGTGCACTGCGGATGCTTTTATTGTTACTATCCGACGCTATCTTCACTCTCGACGGGGTATGCTCCATGTTCCATTACCTTCGCCCTACATTCAAGCCAACTTTCCGCTCAAGGTATGCTCACTTTCATACTTCCTGTTTGTTTGGTCCCTGTTTCATATTTGATGGTCCCTACTCTCAAACGCTTTTCATTTTGTAGTAGAGTAAATGCTTAAATCACCGCTAAACAGCGAATCGTAGCTTTTGTGTTTTGTGTGCGGTTTAATTTTTTCAATTTTTCGTTTCGTAAACGTGATATTCTCGGAGTTCTCACTGCTTATTCTGTAGCCTATTTAGAAGCTACGCTTCATATGCTTGGCCAGATGACTTGACTAAGTGTGGTAAAGTTAATGTGGTGCGTGGTAAGCTCTTGCGAAACTTGCTTATACTTCAATCATTCTAGTCTGTCACTGGTTGTCTGATCTAATGAAGAAACTTCTTTGTCCTAATGTCATATAAACGTTACTCTAAAATAGCTGAGTTATACGGATCGCAAATCATTGTTTGTTAGTTTAGATGTGAAATTAAAATGGAAAGGCATTGGTTCCAGATGGAATGGTTTTCTACTTCCTTGGACACCGAATTCAGATTTCATTTATCCCGTTTTTCGTCTTTTTTGTGCTCTTAAGTAAGGCTTAAGGCAAAATTTTTGTGGTATTTTTGAAATGGAAATTGAAACAAGTGCCACCAATATCGTAAAAAATTACCGGTGGGAGTTACTGGACCTTGATTTGGTTCAGTTCAGACAATTTCACTCGCATCACTAAACTTTTTGGCTGAGTGAAATGCAGGCAGTATTTTAGTGGGGTATAGAATAGTGATTGTCTCATTTTTAATAATAACTAAGGTCCCAAAACAATGAATAAGCTCTTCATAGAGACTAATGTATCAGTTCTTAATGGCGCCGTCTATCCCTCTGGTAATTGTGACTTCATCATAAGATATTCACAATGAGCTACCGTATTAACTCTTTTTTTTCCGATTTGCCGAAGCTGGTTTGATCAAATCTTTTGCAGTTCATGATTACTTCACTCATGAGCAGCTTATTAGGTACTAAACTGTCGGAGATTTTTTTGCAATTTTTGGTAGCCTTCAATGATACCTGACCAACAATCGAATTCGAAATAGTTAAAATCCTGATTTAAAGTATCAGGGCTAGGGATTTAAAAATGTTCATATCGTGCAAGTATTACTAAACCCAGTTGGAATTAAATATTGTACCACCTTTTCTCTGCAGTTCGTTGCTCTAAATCCACAAGGCAGCCAGGCTGTTGTTGCGGGTTCTCGGGGCCTCGCTATCTTCATGCTGCATTCACTCCGGTGGCGCCTCTTTGGAAATGTCTGTCAGGTGAATGGATTGATAATGATAATGACAATAATAAATGCTACGGATGGGGTTCAACTAATTCCATGTAGCAATCTCTGGACTCGGTGAGTCTCTCTATATTGCTCATCGACATTTTTGGATAAAACAACGTGGTTTGGGACTCCGGTAGTCGTTGGAGAGTTAGGTTTGCGAAGTAAAATGAATTATGCTAGGAATTATCGTTTATTCTCTAAACACTCATGAGCATTCCTGACCCCAAACATTTGAGCTATTGAGATAACTTGCTTTGGCTGCTAGGGTCAAAAAATAATTGGAAATGGAGATTTCAATTTCGATTTCACCTCAAAGTATTCTAATGTTTGTGGATGAAATTATTGCTTATCTGATACGTGGGGATTCAATTAACCAAAGAATCGGTCCTTCCAAACCAGATTTTCTACCCGGTCGAAATAAGTCATTGATCAAGAAAGTGAACTTTCGAATTGAGCAAGCTGAAAAAATGCTGTGAGCGGACTTTGTCAGAACCAACTACTAGCGTGACGTTTATTGCCAATCTATCCTGAAAGAAAGGAAAACGATTTCATAGCATGGAATTCAGTCCCTAGTTTGCGGAATACGTCTTGTAAACTCGCTACCTAATGCCAATATAAGGACTCTTTTGATAGTAAATAGAGGATATGAACTACAGGAAGTCAGGAAAGGTTGGCATGACCGCAAAAAACAGTGAGCACGTAAATTTGTCTATTTAGTTCATCCTGGATCTCATGTCTAAAGTGCTGTGATGAAATTTGTTTACTCGTCTTTTACAATTTGGGCCTAACAGATTCTCCTATGCTTTAGGAGCAGACTTTTGAGGTACATGCAGGCTTGGCCTGGTGGGGACGCTTCGTTTGCTGCTGTGCATTTAACTATGCCAAGAATCACTGTGAGGTTGGTTCACCTTTTCACTATCTTCCATTTGCTTATTTATCCTTCTAAATTATCTCTTTCTCCTCTTCGGAAAGATTCGGTGCTATCCTACCACGGAGAGACTTGACGATCGATTTGCCTCAATTGTGGCTCTGGAAAGTTCCATTCGTCCTCTTGTACTTGATATCGTGGGAGATTGTCTAATTTTCTTCTCCACCGACAGCCACTATCGGTCATTTGATCTCTCTCTCGGGTCTAAACCGCATGGTATGTCGACTAGGAGATCGTTTTGGTCTTTTTAATCAATGGTTACTTTCTCTATTTCTGAGGTTCTGATATGGTTATTTAGGGCCTTTTGTTTGATTGTCAGTTTAGTTCTTTAGTTTTGATTTGGTTGCATCCCTAAGTACGACATTCAGGCACTTCTTTGAATTGTTATATGAGAATATTGGAAATGCAACTCCTCATACTTTATGTTCATATTCAATCGAGGCCGCCTAGTATGGAAGCTTTCATACTTGAAACTGATGAAACAAGGCATTCAATCAAATAACGCATCTTAATGCTTGAAGACAAAAAAATATTCGTTTTCCGAACTGGTAGTGATGTAGTACCTGGCGTAAAATTGCATACTTTCGCTAAACCCAAACATTATAAAACAGTTGATGTGATTAATGTCCAGCCAAAAGCGGTGGTCAACGAATGTGAAGCCTTACTTAGCCTCGTCCGAGCAACGATGTAAAGCGTTGCCGGTGCATTGATTCAGTAAGTTAATTTGGCTACTGTAGAATTCCAGCTTCCGTAATCAGTTAAGCAGCTCTAATAGACTCAGGGGCCATAGTCATTACCAATTCCGGTTTTTATACTCTCTACTTTGCTTTTGTCACCCTCTTCAACACCTCGTTTGTACTCGATGTGTTGAATTTCTCTTTTGGCTTTTACTCGTAATCTTTTGCGATTTCACTTAAATGATTCAAGATTGCTTGAATGGTGTTATGCTTATAGGTGGTGTTATTCGATGCCTATTTCGTTCGAGTTCATAAACAGTCACCTTTGTCATTTGTTATTCGTTCTAATTGGTGGATTTTAATCCAAGTTTTCGATCGGCTAGTACAAGTCTCGAACTACAGCGCTACTGTTCATTTCTCACGCGCTTGTTTGTTGAATGCTCGTACCCAGACCTGACTGCTATATCTTCTTTTTCTCCTCTAGAGGTTGTGTTGACTCCGCGTTCAACCTTTGATCTCGCCTCATTT